GAGCGTCTTGTGGGCCTCGAAATCGGCCTCGCCGAACGCCGCCCAGAAGGGCCCCCACAGGTGAGGCCTCATGTCCGAGCCGCGGGCCCCCGCCCCTGGGCCGCCCGCCAGCACCCGCAGCGTGTTGGCGCAGTCCAGGTAGAGCTGGAAAGGTGCCATGGCCACCATCGTGAGCATGAACGCCGCGTAGTCCTCGGCGTCGGGGGCTGTCTGGCCAGGCGCCGCAGAGGTGGGCACGGGCCCGAACGCTGCCGCCTCCAGGCGCCCGAAGCGGTCGACCTGGACCACTGCCCATCCAGCGTGTTCCAGCCCAGGTAGGCGGCCCATAAACGAGCTGCCATCCAGGAAGAGGCAACCGGACAGCCTCCCGGAACTGGGCTTGTTGATCCAGGAGATGTCACCCTCAGCACCGATTCGCTGGAACAGGCAGCGGGGGTCTGGCCACAAGCCTCTGCAGAACCGCTCTCCCGCTTCCACGCTCCAGTGCCTGACCCTCGCCGCGCGTTGGCGGAGGCGGAGCGATGCCTGGTCGCGGCGCAGCCCGGCATGGGGCGGGGCACTCGTAGTGGCGGTGGTAGAGGCTCCCCAGGCCGCCGCCGCAGAGCCTGCAAGTCGAGGAGCCCGCCAGGCCATGGACAAAGAGTCGCGCCTGGGGCCGGTGCACGTTGGTGGCCAGGGCGCGGAGGGCCCCCTGCTGCCTCTTGCCCCAGACGTCCGTCTTGCGCCTGAGGAGCCTGCGCAGCGGCGCCCAGAAGATCGGCCAGCTGGGAAGGGCCTCCACGCCACGAGCCAGGGTCTTGCCAGTGGCCCTGAGCGCTAGCCTGTCGGAGGCCCGCACCGCGGCGCGCTTGACCTCCTCCTTCAACTGGCGGGGCCCCAGACGCAGAAGGTCGAAGACCACATTCTCATCACTGCGCAGCGCGAGGGGCCCAGCCCAGCCTGCGGGCCGTCAGAAGGGCAGCGTCCGCGGGCGTGCACGCAGCGCGCCAGGGGTGCTGGCTGAGGCTGGCGCGCTGGACAGCAGCGGTCAAGGTGACCTCCAGCACGCGGCCCTGCACCTGCTGCTCCCAGACTGCCATCGCCCACATGAACAGCACATCCATGGAATGCAGCACCAGCGGGTCGAGCATGACGCCCTGCTGGTGGGCGTGCAGCCGCAGACCCAGCGAGCAGCCCTTGGGCAGCCGCCCCGCCGCCGCTGCCGCCTGGACCCTGAGGCCGTGCAGCGGCCCGTCAGCCAGGCCTGCAGTGGCAGCGCCCCACAGGGCCGAGGACGTGGCCCCCATCCGCTGCAGCATGCCTGCGTCGCCAAGGCCTCCGCGCCGCAAGTGCGCGTAACGGCCCCCGCGTCGGCGGGCCTCCACTCCCCGGGCCGCCTGCGCGGAGACCGAACGCTGGGCGCAGAGGGTGTGGTTGGTGCCCAACGCTTTCATGGTGGCAGCCTTCGCCGACGCAGGCAGGGCCCACGACCCCTGGAGCTCCTTGTCCAAGGCCGCGTCGGAGGCGAGGTACTTGTTCTTGCCTGGGGCAAGCGGCAGCTCCAGCTCCGCAAAGTCGCGCAGCAGGCTGTCCAGGCAGGCGGTGGCCTGCTTCACCACCAGGCGGCGGGTGCCCGTCACGTTCACCAGGACGTCGTCTACCACGTTGCGGAGGGAGACACATGGGCCCGCTGCACTCGCCCTCCTCAAGGGGCTAAGGAGCAGGAGACGGGCCATCGACGTGGCGCCACTGCAGCCCGCCACGATAGCTGCCGACGCCTCGAAGCTACTGGAGATGCACCCTTCGAAGAGGACCGCCCGCCAGCCGGCATAGATGCAGCACAGCCCTCGCACCACCTTGAGCGGGAAGTGGTGCATCTTGGCCGCCTCAAGCAGGTGGCTGAGCCTCACGTTCTCGTAGAATCGCTGCAGGTCCAGGCCCACCGTCGTGGACGAGAAGCCGACCTCGCGCCCGAACCCCGCCATCAGATTGTGGGTGTAGCCAGCCCAGTCACAGCTGGTGAGAGTCGACCCACCCCAGAAGAAGGCATCATCATGGGCCCGCTCCCAGGCCGCGCACAGCGGCCGCCGAAGCCGGGACCACAGGCGCGGGAACAGTGCCAGGAGCCCAATTGGTCGGACTCCCCCTCCCGCCTTCGCGATGAAGATCATCTGCGTCTGGAAGGCCAGGAAGGCGCACTGGTTGCTCCTCGAACGTCACAATGATATCGAGGAACCTTTGAAGCGCCTCGTCCCCCAGCTGCAGCAGCACCCTCGGGTTGAGCCCGTCCCAGCCCAGCCCAGCGGACTCGGTGTACCTGCCGCATACGTCTTTCAGCTGCTCCACCGTGAGCGGCGGGAGCTCCTCGTCGCCGACGTCCCACTCGGAGGGGTGAGCATCGCCCGCACGCCTGCGAGTCCATAGGTGCTGCCAGTCGTCGAGGATGCGCTGCACAGCCTGCTGCCCATTCACTGGGCGCGAGGCCCGGGACACGTCCTCCGCCATGAGGTCGCCGACGTCCTCCAGCTTCTTCCGAGCATACCTGTGCGCCTGCCGCCCACCCCTCTGAGCCGCCTGGACAACCCAAGCTCGCCACTCTCCTGCCTTGGCCCGCCGCGTCGCAGGCCCTGCGCCTGTCGAGCTCCTGGCGCAGCTTCGCGAGAGGAAGCACCTCCTCCTCGGCAGCGCCAGGCACGCCGCCGCTCGGTGACCTCGGAAGCTCCTCAGCCCCGCCGAGAAGGTCACCGGCCCCCAGAGCCTCCTCGCCAGCGCCACGCAGCGCGCCAGTGCTCGGTGACCTTGGAGGCGCCTCAGCAACGCCAGTGAGGCCACCGCCGTTTCCGGAGGACCTCGCCCCGAATTGGGCCCGAGACGAGCCCGAAGCGTGGGAAATTGACGTGCATCGGGGCCAGGAGACCGGAGGACCTCGCCCCGAATTGGTTTTCCCGCGCGGGGTGGGTGCAGTCGCCGTCTCCACCAACTCGAAGCCCGCAGCTTTCCAGCCGCCGGGAGCCGTCGCCGTCTCCACGAGGTCGAGCAGTTCCTGCTGCGAGACGAGCGTCTGCCGGTCGACGTCCAGGGCCGCAATCATGCCCTGGAGCTGCCTTTTCCACTGCGCCAGCTTCGCCTTGCCGCGAGCACCCGGGTGGGCGGACGCAGCCACGGCGGCCTTCTCCAGCAAGCCGTGCACGCTGAGCCACGTCGTGGTGACCGCCGTGAACCTGGTGCGGTCCTCTCGGGCAAAGAGATCGCCGAGGGGGACCTCCTTGGTCTGCGGCCCACGGCTCCTGCCAGTGTACTTGCGGGCTTCGTCCTGGTCGACGCCCTGGTCCCGAAGCAACTTCTGCTCCGCGAGTGTGAACCACTCCTGCACCATCTGCTCGATCGGGCACGCCTCGCGCGTCCCCGCAGGCCAACTCCAGTCGAAGGGCGGCCGGTCCTCCAGCTTGGGGCCGATCAGCGGGTGAACGTCGAAGGGCTTGAAGCGGACTGGCACCTGGACCATCTTCTGGCTCTGCAGGCCAGCCAGCTGCAGAGAGACGGGCGCATGTGGATGCAGCGGTGCGCTGGGGTGGGCGCGGACCCCAACTACACAGCTCGCCAGCGCCTTGGAGACCACAAAGTAGTCGATGGTGCGAGCTGCCTCAATGCCCCCTGCGGCGTCATGGCCATCTTGCCGACGTCGCTCCTCGACGCTGCCACTCCAGCAAGTGGCACCTTCGGGGGCCACCATGGCCCCGCGCACCAGGGACAGGAAGCCAGACTCCTCCAGTTCGTCGGGCGTCATGCTCCAGTCAGCCTGGACGACTGGACGACCCACATCACGTCGAGGCTCAGCACGAGCTTCGCCAGGAAGCTGAGCAGGTCGGCATTGCCTTTGGCCCCGACGCTGGTCTCGCAGTAGACCGACAGCAGGGCGATCCCACTAGGCAGCGCCACACCGAGACGCCTGCCGCACACCCTGTGGGTGAACTCGGAGCTCTCGACCTGCACTGCAGCCGAGGCCAGCTCGCGCTGCACCATCACCGAGACGCCGCCAGAGCTGTTCAAGGCTCCGTCACCAGTGGAGCGCGCCTTGCCATGCGTGGCGCGCAAATGCTCCCTCTGGGCCAGGCTGTGAGCGGCGATCAGCTTGGCCTCACCCTTCATACGTGTCTCCTGCAAGCAAAAAGCTAGGGGCCGCCGAGCCTCCCCGTGAAGCCCTGCATTCTCCAGCCTGCCTGCCGCGCACTCGGTGTCGACCCACTGCAGCAGCTCCGACACACTGCTCCAGGCGTTGACGTTGGCGCCCATGATGGTCAGGTTCTCCGTGGGGTAGGTCTCGGGGGCGGCCCACGCGCCCGGCGCGGGGTCACCCCCGCGGTTTGCCCTCGGCGGAGCCGCCGGCAGCAGCGGCGGCCGCAGCAGCGGGCTGAGCAGCAGAACACCCAGCAGTGCCTTTGCCAGTGCCCTTGGCCATGTCGGCCGCCACCTGCGAGCGCATTTCGGCGAGCAGCTCTTCCCGGCGCCGCTGCTCCGCCTCGCTGGGCGGCGGCGGGGCCGCGCCTGCTGCAGGTTCGGCAGCGGGAGCCCCTGCAGCTGCCCCAGCTGGGTCCTTCTGTGCTGGCCGTGCTCCAGCTGCCGCACCCCCTTCACCGACCTTCCGTTTCTTCTGCAGCTGGGTGAGGCTGGAGCGCATCTGCGCGACCTTCGCCAGAAGCTCAGTCTGGTGCTCCTCAGCCTGGCGGAACAGCCTCTCCGCCTCCAGCTTGTGCTGGGCCTGGGCTGCCTCGTGGGCCGCCTTGGCCGCGCGCCCTGCCTTCTGGGTGTCGGCCAACACCTGGCGGAAGCGGAGGATCTCGTCCTTGACCGACCCATCCTCGTACTCGTCGAGGTCGCCCTGGAGGTCCTCCGAGCACTCGAAGTCCAGGACCGAGACGGTCGGCCCCTCGGCCTGCGGCTCCGTCTTGGCGACCCCCTGGTAGTACCGCTTGGACGCCGCCTCCATGGCAAGCTTGGCTTCCAGGGCCTCGGCCAACGCCTTCTCCCGGCGCTGCACCGCCTCAGACTGCAACTTCTCCACGCGGGCGACCTCCTCCTGCGCCTTGTAGAGGGCGTTCTGTTTGCGGGTGTTGGCGTGCTGCGCGGCCGCGAGCAGCTGCCAGTCGGTTTTCTTGGGAGCCGGAGCCTGCAGGGCGCGGAGCTGCTCCCGTTTCTCCGCGCGCAGCTGCTCGATGCCTGTGCCCTCCATGCCGTCCAATGCCTCGAGGTCGGCACGGAGCTTGTCCGCTTTGGCCTGGTCCACAGCGGCTTGCGAATCCGCAGGGCCGCAAGGCGCCCCTGCTGCGCCGGATGCGGCGTCCTTCTCAGCCTTGACCACTGCCGCCTCGCGCTTGCGCAGCTCCGCCTCCTTGGCCTTGAGCTCCCGCTCACGCTGCGTGAGGCCCCCCGGGGCTGCCGGGCGCACGGAGGGCTCCTTCGGCAGCACCTTGCTGAGGAAGCAGCTGCCCTTGCTGAGGCCGCAGGAGTTGCACATGGTGCGGAAGGACTTGTTGACGTAGGGCTTGCCGTCCCGCCCCGTACAGGAGCGGCACGTCCACGCCGTGGCGGCATCCCTGCGCTGGCCGCCTGGCGCCATCCGGCCGGCGGAGGAGCCGTGGTGGGCGTCCAACTGCACTGCCGCCTGCTGCAGGCGCGCGTGGAGGGCCGGCGACGAGCGCCCAGCCCAGGCGTGAAGCAGAGCGCGGGCCGCTGCTCGGCGGTTGCGCGCCCGATGGTGGTGGGCAGCCTCGCGGGCCGCCGTCGCGAATCGCGGGCACGCGTGGTCTCAGCGCGAGATGGGTCGCTCGTCAGCCTAGCTGACACCCCAAGCAACCCCTCGAGCCAAAACTAGTGAGGAGGAGGGAGGAGGGAGGAGGAGGAGACGGGAGGGAGGAGGGAGGAGGCAGGAGGGAGAAGGACGAGGGAGGAGGGAGGAGAGAGGAGGGAGGGGGGAGGCGGGAGGATGGAAGAGGAGGGGGGAGAGGGAGGAGTTGGGAGGGAGGAGGAAGGAGGAAGCGAGGAGGGAGGAGGACGAGGAGTAGGAGGAGGAGGAGGAGGAGGAGAAAGACCAGGGCAAGCCCAAGACCCATCATCAATATTGCAATCAACCCTCCCTCCAAGTTCGCTCTTCATAGACCCCTACAAAGGCTTCATTTTCATTAAGGGAGGTGCCCCGATTGAAGACAACCGTCTGTGTAAATCCTGAACTGTATCAGAACACAGTTCTTGGGACTTCAGCGCAGCGAATCACCGTTACAGTTGCTTCTTGACGACCCTGAATCGTGCCAGAACACCGCTCCAGGGACTTCAACACCGCGAATCAATGTATTGGTTGCGTTCTGACGGTCGACATCGTGCCAAAACACAGATTCTGGAGCACTAACCATGAGAATCCTTGAACATGCTGTCAGCTCTTAAAACGATTATGCGCAGCGCTGAGGCGAGAGCCACATATAAAAAGGAACCGCCATCCATCCGTGAAGCTTTTGCATTTGTTTGAGACGAAACTGCGCGGAGTTGTGGCGGGAACCACATCTTGAAAAAGAGCCTCCCTCCATCTGTGAAGTTCTTGCACTTGGTTTACGCCGAATGTGCGCGGCGTTGTGGCGAGAGCCACATTGTGTAAACGGCACGCCCTCCATCCGTGAAGCTCTTACGAATGGTATAGACGAAAGGTGCTCGGCATTGTGGCGAGAATTGCATTTTGAAATCAGCCCGCCATCCATCAGTGAAACTCCTGGCAAGTGAGGAAGACTGGCGAAACGCCCGGCCCGCCGTACCTACTCGCCTCGGGGTGCGACAGGGAATATTTGTTGCAAGGAAAAGGGATGGAGGAGGAAGGAGGGAGCAGGAAAGAGGGAGGAGGGAGGGAGGAGAGAGGAAGGAGGAGGGAGGAGGGAGGAGGGAGGAAGATGAGGAGTAGAAGGAGGAGAAGAATAAGAAAACGAAGACGAAGACGAAGACGAAGACGAAGACGAAGACGGATAATAATAATAATAATGATAATAAGAATACGAATGCTACGAATTATAAGAAGAAGCCGAATAATAATAATAATAATAATCATAATAATAAGAGTAATAATGATAATAATAGTGGTAACAATAATAAGCAGAATAATCATAGGAGCAGGAGGAGGAGGAGGAGGAGGAGGAGGAGGAGGAGGGAGGGGGGAGGAGGGCGTTGGGAGGAGGGAGGCGGGAGGGGGGGAGGCAGGAGGAGGGAGGAGGAGCGCGGCATCGGCATCTCCCTCTGCCTCCCCCCCCCCCACAGGGCCACGGCAGGCGCCGGGGCGCCAGGCACACGCCGCGCCCTGGCCGCTGAGGGGCGGGGGCCGCGGGGGGCGAGGCGGCCGCGGGCCGCCGCAGGTTGCGGCCCCCTCTGGGGTGGGAGGCCGCGCCGCCTGCGCCGCATTCGGGGTCGGCTCCTCCTCCTCCGTCCTCCTCCTCCTCCTCCTCCGTCCTCCTCCTCCGTCCTCCTCCTCCTCCTCCTCCCTCCTCCTCCTCCGTCCTCCTCCGTCCTCCTCCTCCTCCTCCTCCTCCTCCGTCCTCCTCCTCCGTCCTCCTCCTCCTCCCATTATGGTGGAATACATGCCCCGGTCAGCCGGTCAGCCGGTCAACCGGTCAGCCGGTCAGCCGGTCAGCCGGTCAGCCGGTCAGCCGGTCAACCGGTCAGCCGGTCAGCCGGTCAGCTCACCCGGTCAGCCGGTCAACCGGTCAGCCGGTCAACCGGTCAGCCGGTCAACCGGTCAACCGGTCAGCCGGTCAGCCGGTCAGCCGGTCACCCGGTGACCCGGTCACCCTGTCACCCGGTCACCCGGTCACCCGGTCATCCGGTCACCTGGTCAACCGGTCAGCCGGTCAACAGGTCACCCGGTCACCCGGTCACCCGGTCACCCGGTCACCCCGTCACCCGGTCAGCCGGTCAACCGGTCAGTCGGTCAACCGGTCACCCGGTCTCTTCCCAGGGCTTCAATTCCTCACTCAAATTGAGGAAAAAACTCCCGTCGCAGTTTTAACATGGTTACGCAGATTTGTTGTAATCATGATCGAAAAGCTCGATGTCGCAGTTTTGCTTGATCTATTGTTTGCAAAACGTGTTGTCGCAAATTTGCGTTGTCATGTGCTCAAGTATGGTTTTGCATGCATGTATGTACCATGTAATGCCTGTAACGTGTGTTGCATGCGGCCATTACACTGATACGTACCAAATGTATATACATATACAAATAATGCGTCATATGTTGTATGTACATCACACAGAACATGTTGTGCGATGCGAGACTTTTCGGGATGCGCATGCGTGCACAACTCAAAATCACAAAACTGAAGTGCCCAAACATGTTCTTTCCTGCTCGTCCTTCTCCTCCTCTTCCTCCTACTCCTCCTCCTACTCCTCCTCCTCCTCCTCATCCTCCTCCTCCTCCTCCTCATCCTCCTCCTCCTCCTCCTCATCCTCCTCCTCCTCCTCCCTCTCGTCGTCGTCCTCCTCCTCCTCCTTCTCGTCCCCCTCCTCCTGTAACGTGTGTTGCATGCGTCCAATACACTGATACGTGCCATATATGTATATACATATGCAAATAATGCGTCATATGTTGTATGTACATCACAGAACATGTTGTGCGATGCGAGACCCAGTATTTTCGGGATGCGCATGTGTGCACAACTCAAAATCACAAAACTGAAGTGCCCAAACGTGTTCCTTCCTGCTCGTCCTTCTCCTCCTCTTCCTCCCCATCCTCATTCTCCTCCTACTCCTCCTCCTCCTCCGCATCCTCCTCCTCATCCCCCTCCTCCGCATCCTCCTCCTCATCCTCCTCCTCCTCCTCGTCCTCCTCCTCCTCATCCTCCTTCTCCTCCTCATCCTCTTCCTCCTCCTCACCCTCCCCCTCCTCCTCCTCATCCTCCCCCTGCTTCCCAACCTCCCCAGACAATGAAACGGATGATGATCTATCACGCGGCAGCGCGCTCACCGTCTCCGCGCGCGCAGCCGCCTGCGCTCCTTGCGGGCTCAGTGCTTTGGTCGCACTCCGTCGTGCTCCCATCGTCGATCCTTCCTCTGCCGCCTTCGAGCTCTTTCTTCTCTCCTCGCGCCATTTCTTCTCGAGCTCTTTCTTCTCTCCTCGTGCTCTTTCTCCTCGAGCTCTTTCTTCTCTCCTCGTGCTCTTTGTTCTTTCTTCTCGAGCGCTTTCTTCTCGAGCTCTGTTTTCTCTCCTCGAGCTCTTTTTCCTCGAGCCCTTTCTTCTCTCCTCGTGCTCTTTTTTCTTTCTCCTCGAGCTCTTCCTTCTGTCCTCGGGCGCTTTCTTCTCGAGCTCGTTCTTCTCTCCTCGAGATCGTGCTTCTCTCCTCGAGCTCTTTCTCCTTGGGCTCTTTCTCCTCGAGCTCTTTTTTGTCTTCAGGTCTCCTCGGGCGTCGGCTCTTTTCAGGTCTGCTGTGTCGTTCTTCTCCTGTCGCCTCGTCTGCCTCTCCTCGCGCCGCTGCCTCTCCTCGCGCCTCTCCCTCTCCTCGCGCTCCAGGTCTCCTCTGGCTTTGACGGTATTCACTCTCCCTCAACTTGCTCATCTTGTCAATTAAGAGTTTCCTTACTGTCATGACCACGTCATCGCTGCTGGCGACCTCGGCTTCCTCCTCGGGATCCAAGGGGAATTCTAACGGGCTCGCGGGCGAAGTCGGTGTAGGTATTTGCGTTGGAGCTGACAGAGGAGAAGTTGGGACTGGAAATGGAACTGGAAGTGGTTCCTGAGAACGTTCGCCTGGCCCTGGCTTAGGCATAGATGTCGGGCTCTGTGGCGGAACCCCACAGCTCTCATCCTTTGTCCTGGGTTCTCCTGTCCTGTCCTGGGTGCCCCCATCGATCTCGTCGGCAAGGGGCGTCTCTTTGCCGTGTCTCTCCGTGGGCCTCCTTGTCTCCTCGAGCTCTTTCTTCTCTCCTCGCGCCATTTCTTCTCGAGCTCTTTCTTCTCTCCTTGAGCTCTTTCTCCCCGAGCTTTTTCTTCTCTCCTCGTGCTCTTTGTTCTTTCTTCTCGAGCGTGTTCTTCTCGAGCTCTTTCTTCTCTCCGCGAGCTCTGTTTCCTCGAGCTCTTTCTTCTCTCCTCGTGTTTTTTTCTTTCTCCTCGAGCTCTCCCTTCTGTCCTCGAGCGCTTTCTTCTCGAACTCTTTCTTCTCTCCTCGAGATCTTGCTTCTCTCCTCGGGCTTTTCTCCTCGGGCTCTTTCCCCTCGAGCTCTTTCCTCTGTCCTCGAGCGCTTTCTTCTCGAGCTCTTTGGAAATACCTCCTGATCTTTCTTCTCTCCTCGAGCTCTTTCTCCTTCAGCTCTTCCTCCTGGAGCTCCTTTTTGTCTTCAGGTCTCCTCGGGCGTCGGCTCTTTTCAGGTCTGCGTTGTCGTTCTTCTCCTGTCGCCTCGTCTGCCTCTCCTCGCGCCGCTGCCTCTCCTCGCGCCTCTCCCTCTCCTCGCGCTCCAGGTCTCCTCTGGCTTTGACGATCTTCCCTCTGTCCTCGGGCGCGTTCTTCTCGAGCTCGTTCTTCTCTCCTCGAGATCGTGCTTCTCTCCTCGAGCTCTTTCTCCTTGGGCTCTTTCTCCTCGAGCTCTTTTTTGTCTTCAGGTCTCCTCGGGCGTCGGCTCTTTTCAGGTCTGCTGTGTCGTTCTTCTCCTGTCGCCTCGTCTGCCTCTCCTCGCGCCGCTGCCTCTCCTCGCGCCTCTCCCTCTCCTCGCGCTCCAGGTCTCCTCTGGCTTTGACGATATTCCCTCTCCCTCAACTTGCTCATCCTGTCAAGTAAGATCTTCCTTTCCCCGCCTTCTTTATAGACTGTCACGATCGCGTCATCGCTCGGGATCTCGGCTTCCTCCTCCAAGGGGATCTCTATCGGGCTCTGCGGCGGAGGCCCGCAGCTCTCCTCTGTCCTGGGTTCTCCTGTCGGGCTCTCCTGCACAGTCCTACAGGCGGGCGAAGTCGGTGAAAGTAATTGCGTTGGAGCTGAATTTGGAACTGGAGTTGGAACTGAGACTTCGCATGGCATAGATGTTGAGCTTGAGGGAACCTTGCGACCGACTGCTTCCATGTGTTCCGATGCCAGCTCCTCCTTCATCATCGCCGTGCGCTCTCTGATCAGTCTGCAGTTTTGATCTTCAGCTTCCTCTTTCTCTCTCTCTCTTTCTCGCTTCTCTAACATCTTTCTCGCCAAAACATATCGGTCTTCAGCTTCCTCTTCCTTGAGCTCGCTCTCTTCCTTTCCGTCCTCTACGATACGTTTCGCCAAAGCGTATATTCGTTTGCCCAGATCTTGATCCTGTTCTCCTGAGTTCCTCGCTGCCTCACTGCCTGCATGCCGCCTCTGAGCTCCGCTTCCTTCTCTCCTCGCGCTCGTCCGCCGACCTCTTTGCAGGAGGAGGGAGAGAGGGGATCGAGCAATTGAATGAGTTGGGACCTCTCACAGCTTCAGAGTGGTTCAGCAAGATGACCGCGCGCCGCAGGGGCCACGAAGACATTGCCCCCCGCGCGTCGCTGAATGCTTCATCCGAGCCATAATGACGCTGGGCGTAGGGGGGGTTCCTCCACGGACGACAGCCTCGCCATCACCACCTCCTCCCTCCCTCCTCCTCCTCCTCCTCCTCCTCCTCCTCCTCCTCCGCCTCCTCCCTCCTCCTCCGCCTCCTCCCTCCTCCTCCCTCCCCCTCCTCCTCCTCCTTGCCCTCCTCCTCCTCCTCCTCCTTCCGCCTCCTTCTCCTCCTCCTCCTCTTCTGGAAGCCCCTCTCCCTGGAGGACCCTTGGAAGCCCCTCTCCCTGGAGGGCCCCTGGATGCCCCTCTCCCTGGAGGACCCTTGGAAGAGAGGGAGGGCGGCTGGGGGGAGACGACTGCGGGGCGGAGGTCATTCTTCGCCCGCTTTCTGCGCACGCGTCTTACACGCGTAGCTTCGAACGAAGCGCGCTTCCTCCTTATTTCCTTCGTGATTTCTCCTGGGTGATGGCTGACCGAGGTCAGAGCTACACCTCGCCCCCCAAAGAATTGGCCACCAGACCCGACCCCCCAATGAGCCACCGGACTCGTCCAATGAGCCACCAGACCCACCCAATGAGCCACATTCCAGGAGAAAACAGGAAGGATGAGGAAGATGAGGAGGAGGCGCTCAAGTTGAATTATCAATTGCTCGGCCTCACTCTCACCAGTCCTAGCAAACAGGTTTCGCCCAGCGCAGCAGGGTGACGCCGCCGTAGCTGTCCTTCCGGCTTTTCCTGGTGATCCTCCTCTTCTTCCCATTTGCCTGGGACGCACGTGGACATACTAGTACTATATGTCCTCCTTGGAGGCGCGCGTCCGACCCGAACATATAGTACACCCATCTTGTAGTATATCGTTTCCCGAGCGGTGTGGCCAGAAAGCGCCCGCCACGACGCATATACTATAAGATTTCTCGGCGCGCGCGTCGCCCCTGGGGGGGCGACGCACATATAGTATAAGTATGTTGGGGTGTTGCCGATTGCCTGCCGCCGCATATCATTATCA